TCTACAAAAATACAAAACTTTATAATTTGATTTAATATTTGTAATTTAATTACTTGGATATTATTATGCAATCATGAATTGCATGGAGTCAGAAATTAATAATATACAGGATTTTATTTTAAAAAGTACATTTTCTAATATTTTTAGAAAATTCTGATGGATTCGTTTAATGAATGTTGCTAGCTCACAATTTTGTAAAATCATATGTGAATATATTTATATTAATTTAATTTCATGCAAGGATTATATGGCTATTACTGCATTTTAGCATTAAATAATGATTATCGTAATAAATAATAGCATTAATTAAATCAGAAATCATATTTTCATTATATATTTTATTTTCATTAAGAATTTTAATACAAGTATAAAATAAATTATAAATATATTTTTAAAATATTAGTTTTATAAAATAGTTATATATACTGAATGTATAGTTTAATATATAGTTATAATTCTTAGATAATAAAATGATAAAATATCAGATTAAGTCATTTGAAACCAGAATATCAGATATGTTTGGGAAGAATGTATTTATCCTCCAATTGAACCAAATCTGCGCAAATTTTTATATTACAGTCTGTATAAAAACTTCATATAATTATCATATAATTATCATATGAATAATAAGATTGATATAATTAAATAAATTATTCATTTATAACTTTTTTAAAAACAAACATGTTTAAATAAAAGGAAATATTTTTAATTGTATTATCGAAGTTTTGATAATATTTATAATATATTTCAATATTACTAATTTTATGAAAAATATAATATAATTAAAAATTTTCTTAAATTATATTCAAGCTGTAATATAAAAATATATTGTAAATTGAACAAATCAATAATATAAATTACCATTAAATTACCTTGGTTATTATATTTTTGGTACTTTAATTGTATATTTTATAATAATAATTATATACTACATTAATTTAATTAATAATAACATTAAATTTATCCAAATTTATCAAAAAATAAAGCAAAAAATAATTGAACTGAAAGTGGATTAGAACCTGGGTACAAAATGTTAAGTGTGCGACACATTACCAATGGGCCACTGAAATTGTATTAATATTTTTTGATTAAAATTAGTATTCATTAAAATTTAAATAACCAAATGGTTTTTCGGGTTTTTCGGTGACCAGGAGCAATTAGATTTTTATATTTTTGTGCAAAATGCTATTTATTTATGCCATTTCATCTTGCAATACCAATCTGGCATTTGCAAAACCGTGTTACTCCATTATTAGTATATTTGTATAATAATTGTACACCTGTTATCTAAATCAATTTTTATAGCGCATGTCTTAATTGTATAAACATTTATAATTGAATATAGTTATTATAAGAAAATATCTAAAAATGTTATGTAGATTATTTGATTGCTAGGCGATAGGCGAAAAACAAACCAGACAAATACTCTAATAACTTTGTTATTATGTATGAAAATGTAAAATCTATATATTGTGTATAATTGATAGACGTGTTTAGATTTGAATATTTCTTTGCAGATAACATATGAGAAAATAATATTAAATTTTAATTCTTTTATTAAATATTTTTCACAATTTAATAGTTATTTAGATAATATTAGTTTCTAACAATAAGGTTATTTTTCACCTCCTATTGTACAAAAGTTTGTTAAATGTTAATAGAAATGTTTTAAAATATAATTACATTTTTTAGCTTAAGAAAAATAACTTAATAAATGTTTACAATTTATATTTATCCTCTAATTTGACTAAATCTGCGCTCAATTGCCACAACATTTCCGCACTTTTATCGTCCGTCGCGTTCGCATACATGTTATCCACGAGTAAACAATTTCTGTGAACACCAAACAAATTATTTATAAAAATATATAATGAAAATCAATATAAACACAAACTCATAATAAAATCCGGATTCACTGTCCAGTGATTTCTCGAGAGCGCAGTAAAGGGTGGTTTGAGTGCCCATCTCGACAGATATGGCAAACATTTTGGTGAAAATTTTTGCGATAAACTTGAAAACAGGGGACTCAATATGTCGGCGCCAATCGGTGGCCACAGCTCCGGGATGTAATGAATAGGCATTGATTGTGGTGTCACCCAAACGTTTAGCCAACTCGCGGGTGAACAAAACGTTAGCCAGCTTGCTTTGCGAGTTAGCTGCCATCATATTAAAAGCACCGTTACGTAGGTTTATATTCTCGAAATGTATTCTTCCGGACGCATAGGAAAGAGATGACACGTTTATGATCCGGGCTTTCGGTGCCTTTCGCAGTAATGGCAGTAATTGTAGTGTTAAGAGATAGTGTCCTAAAGAATATTCAGTTATATAAGTGAATAACTTATTTTAAATAAATATA